AAGAAAATTTGTAGATTGTAGATTAAGTATAATTAGGCGAATATTGAATACCTAATAGAAATAAATAAACTCCAGTACTATATTTCAGACATTAACCTAGAAGAGAAAAACATTATCGCCTATCAAAAGACCTAAGAGAAAATCTTTTTAACAACAGTGCTGGTAGCACTGTGATTGAAAGACAAGCTGGAGATTTGTTTACTCTTAATTAATTGTTGTACAGACCAGTAAAAGATAAGTAAACTAAATGTTAGCGATTTGCGACGACAGTGTGTATGTTGATAATGGACACAAATGGTTACACTCATCTTTCCTAAGTCGATTTATAAATGTGTCTGTTAACAAGGTTTTTTGCCCTATTTGTGACTCCATAACAGGGGAAAAGAGGTGTTTGGTTCACAGATGGTTACAAAAAACTAAATGTTGAAACTGGACTGGATATATATGTTTCCAAAAGGCTATTCCATGAAACGATATTCAAGATAATTTATAAGCTTTAGTATCAATATGAATATTTGGTTGATGAATAACTGGACTTCCAATAGTGAGCATGACACCTCCCCTTATAGATTAAATACTGAAAGTGGGAACATTGACGTACAAATGAACATTTGGGGGGGAAATGTGTGAAATGTGGTTATGTATTATAAAGTTTGTTTTCTTATTATATTTAAAATAAATAAAATATTCTAAAATATTGCTATCAGGTCATTCCGTTCAATAAGTATATAACATGCCGTCTGTCGCTTAATTGTGTTTACAACTTGAGATAGAGATACAAAAAAGTATAAAGAGCATTTTAAGTGACTAGACTAGTCACTAGAATCAATAAAGAAAACAACAAAACAAACTCAGATTTCTTTCAAATAAGTATCTCGTTGTATAACAAACAAAACTCAGTTGTAGTTTAACTCAAGTCCAGTTTGGATCTGACGCCAAAGAAACAAACATTTAAAACCGGTCGGTCGTTTTATTTATTTTATTGAAGTGTTTTTTTAATAAATATCAACAAAATTTAAAAACAAATAACTAATAACTATTACAAGTGTTAATTAAATTTAAAAAATCGAAAATTAAACAAAAAGTCATGAAGCGAACATTAAGTTTCGCTTTAATATTTTTACAAATTTTAATATTTGTTAATGCCAGCGGGTAAGTTTCTTATTATTATTATAAATTATACTTTTTTCGAACATAAATTGGGATTTTGTTTATTTAATTGTTAAACGTGATTTGTTATTAATTGCTAAAAATCAAATAAAATTCTAAGAATTTTTATGTGTTCGAAATAAAAACAAATAAATAACAACTCCCTCTTTCACAATATCGAAACAACATTATCTTTCTTATAAATATACTAGCTATACCCAGGGTGCTTTGCTACCCTTTTTCAGATATACAATTGGTTACATATGGGAGATGCCACGCAAAGTGCGCTAATTTTTGCGAAGGTTATTTAAGATTTTAATGTAATCTATGAAAAATTTTAATAATCTAATAGTTTCCCAATCCCCCATTGAAAGTCCGCCCGTTATTCTCAAAATGTTCACATTAATGTCGAAATTCTTCATGTAAAATTTAAAGATTCTAGCTTTAATAGTTTCTCAGATATTCGAATTTTTCTATTTAATTCATATTGGTGCTCCAAGCCCCCCAGATCTCCAAAATTTTCAGATGAAAAATAAAGTTCTTTGTGCAAAAATTGAAGAATCTAGTTCTATTAGTTTCCCAGATAAACGAAATTGTTTATTTAATTCATATGGGAGATGCCAATCCCCCATTGAAAGTCCGCCAGTTATTCTCTAAATGTTCACATGAATGTCAAAGTTCTTCATATGAAATTTTAAGATTCTAGCTTTAATAGTTTCTCAGATATGCGAATTTTTCTATTTAATTGATATGGGGGCTCCAAGCCCCTCCAGATGAAAGTCCACCCTGTTTTCTACAAAATGCTCAGATGAATATATAAGTTCTTTGTGCAAAATTTGAAGAATTTAGTTCCATTAGATTTCCAGATAAACGAATTTTTGTATTTATTTAATATGGGAGGTGCAACGCCCCCTAATGCTAGTCCGCCAACTTTTTGACCTAAATAATCATATTGACACTAAAGTGGCTCCGACAAAATTTGAGGACAAAATATACGGATTTAATATTTTCTTAATATGGGCGTGGATCCCCGCCCACTTGGAATTTCAAAATAAAAAGTATCCTATTACCTATTCCAGACATACAGGAATACGCTGAATAAAATCGGTTCAGCCGTTCAGTAGTCTATAACGTTCAACATACAAACAAACACACATTCATTTTTATATATGTATATAGAAGAAGATACATATGTATATTATCTCAGATATACTGCTGTAATATTTTCTTAATATGGGCTTCGCCACTGTGAAAATTTCAAGAAAATCGGTTCAGCCGTTTAGTAGCCTATAAACTTCAAATATACAAACATACAAACACATATTCATTTATATATACATATATAGATTGTAAACAAAAACAAAATTTTAAATTTATTTGTTGTTTTAAATATATTTGTAAGAAAGAAAATGTTCTTTCGCATTTAGAGAAACCGGCAGTAAATGTTAATTTTTGGGAGATTTAAAAAGTGTGTTTCATTTTTTGTGCGTTGACATTGTTTTTGTTTTGTGTAAATAAATGTGTTATCAGTTAAGTTAGTACCGAAGGTCAAAACTGGTTTTCCCCCCAAGAGTATACATTTTTTGTTTTTATTTCTTCTTGGTGTATCAGCTGTTTCTGATAAAGTAGCCAGACAACTTTAAGATCAGAGCATACATTATAATTAAACTAAAGTTCAAACTTGATAATGAAAATAATATACACTAATTAACTAAATTGAAATAATCTTATGAATACAAACACTTGACACACACACATTTGCCTAAATTAATGATGCCATCTGGAAGCCGAAAATACCGGTTTTTTTGCTTTGTTATTAGGAAATAACAAAATATGTTAAAACCGGGATATATGTATATAGAATTTTTTGCTTAATTTTACAAACAAATTTTTGGAAAAGCTGAGAAAAAATACATTGCAATAACCTCTCGACAAAAACTGTAGGTCCATTAATGCATCAATCATTCGCAAAATTAGATTATTATTCCCGGGAGGAAACTATTTAAGTTTGTTTGAAATTTATCTCAATATATACCATATATCGATATTTAGATTTATAACACTAACATGATTTTGAAGCTTGATATCTGTCATGTTAAAAGATTGACCTTAGCTCCAGTATTAGGACCCTTAAAGAATGTCTTTAATGTTGCCTGTGGGAAAATTATTTTAATTGGACTAAAAGATCTAATCAAGTAATCCGCACATGCATTACATCAGATTAATACCAAAACTACTCCTTTAGTAAAGTTATGGGACTACATGATCCACAACATGGTCCTATATAATGCAGACCATGGATTTTGTTGTTTTTAAAAAATTAACTTAATCCATGCCTTCATTACATAGTCATAGAGTCTTTCACTGACATGAGGCCTTATACGACTATTGTTTAACTAGAATCTCTCAACACTTTCTGCACTCTTGTCCAAAGAGAAGCAACCGATACTTGTGAGAAATTTTAAACTGTTCTTCTTAGTCTAAACATATTTTGCAGTAACTCACATTTATATATTGTGAGATACGTAAATCCCGATATGGTCACTCATATCAGAGGAATATGAATATCATATCAGAGGAATATGAATATTCTAGAATAACACAGGTCAACAAATTTTAAACCGTGAGATCAAAGCATACTTTTCTAAAGGAATCTGACCTCAGAATTCCTCCACATCAAGCCGATATAAAGGTACCCGTAAAAGATTTTCAACCGTCAGTGTAGACTCCCCGGGGCATGTTTCCTTGGTGATAGATCCCATCTTGGTGTATTGCAATCGCGGCGTAAAGAGGTGCTACCAGTATCTCTAGTCTAACGGGACTATAAACTGGTGATTATCAAATGTATCTTCGGCCTTTCCTTGGAATGCACAGTGGGGCAGAATGGAAATTTTTTGGAAATAAATCTGGCATTTCTAAACGGCTGATCCGATCGGGATAAAATTTGGCGTGAGCGTAGCCAAGGAGTATTCGAGTTTAAGTTTTGAAGATGAACCCTGCAGATGCCCCAGGGACGGCGCTGTGGCGGCTCAAAGTAGGGTACCTACGACATGTAAAATTTTTAAACTCGTGCCATTTTTTTGTTTTTCACCCAAATACAAAGATTTTTATATTTTGTGAAAGCGCTCGACGAGATCTTGAAAAAACATGCTTGGACATACTACTTATCTCTTATAATATCCGAGTTATAGGCATTTAAAAATTTAGTGATACAAAATTTACCATACCTTGGTCCGCCTTTTTTTGAATACCGGGCGTAATTTTGGACCAAAATTTTGGACCAAATTTTAGACAACAAAATTTCCAATAATATACAAAAAATTTCAGATCAATATCGTTTACAGATCCAAAAATATACGTTTTTTAATTTAAAAATTCAAAAAATTTTAGATTTTTGGCGTTTTTTTGCCAAAAATGTGTCTTAACTCTTTTATTAATAAAATAAAATTTTTATTAAGAACATATAACAATTTTATAGTTTTCTAAAAGGTATCTTTACGCAGAACGCTTTGGCGTAAAAAACTTGTCCTATTTTTTGAAAATGTTGCCACTGCGTCCTTCCGAATATGACCTATTTTTTATCAAAACTTCAACTTTGGGCGACATGTTCTAAAATCCCAAAGCTGGGATCAGAAAACTGAAAGCAGTTTTGGAAACCTCAATATGTTTTCTATTTACTCCAAAAGTATTTTCCCAGCCCTGAAAGAAATGTGGACCCTATGGGCAAAAAAGTAAAAAATCCCATTTTTGGGATTTTCATTCCTATTTTTGGGAATTGCGGGATGCCCTTTGACCTTTTCAATTTTTTTTTGCATATTCTTATTTGAAATGACAAATTTAACAAGCGTTGAAAATTTCATTGAGTTTTGTTCATAAATAAAGATTTTGTCATATATTACATATTTGTTTAATTTCTAAAACTATGATTTATATCAAAATTTTAATAGGATCGCAGATAGCTACAACAATTTAGTCCATATTTATCCCTTAATATCATTTTTTAGTTAGATATGGAAATTCTCGACCCTTTACAAAAAATTTCAAGCCAATATCTCAATTACATTCAAAAATATGTTCATTTAAACCTGTGTCCTTTAATTTCATCTTTTTCATATTTTAGTATTAAGTATGACAGCACATATTTAAATCTTATATTTACCTATTTTCTATTTGTTTGCTTATCCTTATAATTGAAAGGTCCTATTATGCTTAAATTGAAAAGGTCAAAGGGCATCCCGCAATTCCCAAAAATAGGAATGAAAATCCCAAAAATGGGATTTTTTACTTTTTTGCCCATAGGGTCCACATTTCTTTCAGGGCTGGGAAAATACTTTTGGAGTAAATAGAAAACATATTGAGGTTTCCAAAACTGCTTTCAGTTTTCTGATCCCAGCTTTGGGATTTTAGAACATGTCGCCCAAAGTTGAAGTTTTGATAAAAAATAGGTCATATTCGGAAGGACGCAGTGGCAACATTTTCAAAAAATAGGACAAGTTTTTTACGCCAAAGCCTTCTGCGTAAAGATACCTTTTAGAAAACTATAAAATTGTTATATGTTCTTAATAAAAATTTTATTTTATTAATAAAAGAGTTAAGACACATTTTTGGCAAAAAAACGCCAAAAATCTAAAATTTTTTGAATTTTTAAATTAAAAAACGTATATTTTTGGATCTGTAAACGATATTGATCTGAAATTTTTTGTATATTATTGAAAACTTTGTTGTCTAACTAACAAGAAAAAATTGAGTCCATTTGGTCCAAAATTACGCCCGGTATTCAAAAAAAGGCGGACCAAGGTATGGTAAATTTTGTATCACTAAATTTTTAAATGCCTATAACTCGGATATTATAAGAGATAAGTAGTATGTCCAAGCATGTTTTTTCAAGATCTCGTCGAGCGCTTTCACAAAATATAAAAATCTTTGTATTTGGGTGAAAAACAAAAAAATGGCACGAGTTTAAAAATTTTACATGTCGTAGGTACCCTACTTTGAGCCGCCACAGCGCCGTCCCTGGGGCATCATTTTATCCCGATCGGATCAGCCGTTTAGAAATGCCAGATTTATTTCCAAAAAATTTCCATTCTGCCCCACTGTGCACTGTGGAATGATTTGACATGAGGTCGAACTAGAGCACCAGATAATCTGGTACTAATGGTGGCCAGTTGCCCGCAGGTCTTTGTCCTGGCTGGTCAGTTGGTTGAGGTTCCTTCGTGATCTATGTAGTGGCTGTGGTTTAATCCCGGTATCTGATGGATGAGAGGTATTCTGGGTTGTATTTGTGGAGATGTCGGAATAATGGATGGAGTGACGGTTGAAGTGGCGGTGGAGTTTGTTTAGACGTTGGCAGAGTTGGTAATACCTTGATCTTTATCGGCGATTTTCCTTCATGTTTGAGTGTGTTGAGCATATTTTTGAGTAATATGCTCAACTTATCACAGTAGGTCCTTGTGGCCACTGAAATAAGTGTTGTCAATTAAAAATGGATCCGAGCTTCGGACTACCAATTTGTTGTCCCTAGGTGCTGTTACCGAAATAACAGATCCATCTCAGTAGTGTGATTGGCGACTTTATAGATCCAGGAACACGGCATTTCTCATGACATCAATAGGGTGTTTTCACCTGATGTTGGGTGCGCAAATTCTATCGGCTCTAACCTTTTCCTTTGTCGGGGTTAGATTGAGCTTGACTCATCATTCCCCAACGGGGCTACTATGGCTAGATATTAGATAGCTCGAGTACTTGAGCAAAATTTTGTACATGGACCGGCAGAAATATATACAAAAATAACTTGTATTTAAGATACAAAAAAAAGGCCAATACGGCAAGCACTTCGATATTCGTCAGTGTAGACTAAAATGATTTTCTAGTTCGGAAGGTGCTGTAAATTCTTGGTGCTGGTAGTCCACCGGTTTTTCCAAAATAAAACACCAATCTGCCTGCTATCAATATAATGTCCAAACTGGCCTGAAACTGTAATATCAAGACAAGGCAATATTTATGGCTTTTTTTCAAGAACAGAAGGCACATAAAGTCGTACTTATTCTAACAACATAAAATGTTATATATTCTTAATGAAAAGTAACTTTGAGACCTAAGAGTCTAAAATTACGCCCAGATATTTTGATACCCTTGAAACTTCCGAATTCCTGTCATACATTGCTGGTGGTGAAAATTTTAGTTTCTAATTACTCTGGTAAAAAAAAACCAATTCAACCAAAAGACCGTCTTTCCTGCCCGATTTTAATAGTTCGTCAAAGGCTGATTTCTTGAGATCACTCATAGTTGGTTCAAATTTGCTTTCTTAAGTAGAACAACCTATAACTAATTTTGAAATAGACCATGAATATTTTGTATTTTCTTCTCAGATTCCGGTATACATATATGTATATTAAAAATCAAGTATATATAATAATACGTTTTTTACTAATTACTATGTTATTTCCAATTACAGTTTCTATTCCATTGTGGCCCCTGGCACAATACAATCTCATCTTGATTACTCTGTCAGTGTTACTCTGCATGAAAACTCAGAACCGGCTACAATTAAAGTAGGCATAAAGGGACCATCATACAATGAAGAAAAAACCGTCGAAATCTCGCCCTCCCATACAGAAGTCGTAAACTTCGAAATACCTAATTTAAAATCGGGCAATTATCAATTAGAATCGGAGGGTATTAAAGGTTTAATATTCAAAAATTCCACTGAATTAAATTTTAAAAATAAAGAACCCAAAACATATATACAAACTGACAAGGCTGTCTACAAACCGGGAGATTTAGTACAATATCGTATTGTTGTATTAGATGAAAATACAAGACCAGCAAAATTAGAGCAACCCTTGACATTAGGTTTTAAAGATGGTGCTGGTAACTTTGTTAAGCAAATCAAAGATATTCAATTAACGAAGGGGGGTCTATACGGGAGAATTTCAATTATCCGATCAACCAGTTTTAGGTGAATGGATTATGGAGGTGAACATGGGCCCCAATGAAGATGATACTAAAACCGAAAAGAAATTTGATGTTGACAAATATGTGTTGCCCAAATTTAGTGTTGATATAGAGACCGTAAAGGATATTTCCTATGAAGACACCCTGAAAATTACTGTACGTTCCAAATACACATATGGTAAACCGGTCAAGGGTCAAGCTACCATTGCCATAGATGCACAAAATGGACAACTTAAAACGGAGAAAACCATCGAAGTCGATGGCAAGGGTCATGTTGAATTTGATTTAGTGAAAGACCTCGGTTTAATAAAACCTAATTTTAATGGCGGCTATGGCTATTACTCCTACACACCGCCCATCAATATCTTCGCTGTCATGACAGAAGAATACACTGGCACTACACAAAATAAAACAGCTTCGGTAAATTTACATCGTTCACGTTACAACATTGAAGTGCCGCAAAATGTTTATGATTATGACCCCAATAAAACTTTCGAATTGAAGGCTTTTGTGAAAAATCTTGACGGTTCACCGGTACAGAATGGCAAACATATGGCCAAGCTTTCGATTGGAAAAGATAGTCACTTCTACAATGAAAAAAACGATGCAGTAGAGTATGTGTATACTAGTGAACTCGATAAAAATGGTATGGCATTGTTTAAGGTGACTATTCCCAAGGCTGATTATTATTACAATGTAAGATTGATGTATGCCGATCAAACTAAATATCTTTCCGGTTTGCTGGGTAAAAATAAAGATACAAAAGAAAATAAAGACAAAGATGGTGAAGAAGATGTGGGTCCGTTGAAATTAGTCAAGAAAACTGAAAAGTAAGTAGTGGATGTATAACTTCAATAGGTCATCACTTACAAATGTTTCCCATTTTTTCAGATTTCAACTGGATCAAGATGTTGTAGTCGATGTTAAATCTAACAAAAATATTCCTTATTATGTCTACGCTATTGTCGCTCGTGGCAATATTATTAAACAGGAACATGTTAAAGTACCCGAAAATAGCAAGTCTCATGAAATTAAATTTAAACCCACATTTGAAATGGTACCCGAGTCACATTTATATGTTTATTTTGTACTTGATGGTGATTTGAAGTTTGAAGAAATGACACTTAATTTCCACAAAGAATTTCAGAATAAGGTGGGTAGTTCTACAGAAAAATTTAGTTCATTTCAACTAAAATGTTATGTTTTTAGATTGAAATCACTGCTCCAAAACAAGTTAAACCCGGCGAAGAGGTTAAATTGAATATTAAAACCGATCCAGAATCATTTGTGGGACTTTTGGGGGTTGATCAAAGTGTGCTATTACTTAAATCTGGCAATGACTTAGATTCAGAAAGAATAATCAATGATTTAAATTCGTACGCTACTTCGACTCCTTATATCAAGGGTTACGGCACCTATCCGGGTAGATCATCAGGTTTAATTACCCAAACCAATGCCAATTATCCTTATTCCCAAGGTAAGTTTTGCATGATATTAGTATTTTCAGACATTTAAGAATTCTTATCTGCATAATAATTTGCTATGGAATATCCCGTTATCCAAGATATAAATTTCGACGATGATATATTTTATGTAAATGATGCTGCTCCTGATATTGAAGACTTATTAGACAATAGATTTGAAAGTGATAACGATATTAAAGAAACTGAAACTGATAGTGTGTTAAATTTAAAGATACGTAAAGATTTTTCCGATATATGGATTTACAAGGTTATTAATAGGTTGGTTAAAGATGTACATATTTTAGGGTGCTGGTTATTTTAAGATTTTTTAATATTTATTTTTTATTATAATTCTAAGCTTTTTATTTAACAAATTTTTAAATAACCTTTTAGCCTTTCCAATTAGTTTTTATTATTATAAATTATATGATATTTATATTTAATTTACTGAAAATATATTTTCGAGCTAAATATCTGGCGAAATTCGGACCTACTTTATCTGTACTGTAAATAGAATAAGATTTCTTTAAAAAGATCTAAATCTTGATTAAAGATAGACTTAACTTTGTATGTCTACATTTTGGAGGTCTACATGAAGCGAGAACGAAGAATTGTATAATTTACCATTACAATTCTACGATTCTATTCCGATCAAGAGTGGATTTTTTAGTAAATATCTTCATTATAACTTAAAAAGGTAATTTTTACTTAACAAACAAACTACTAAAATAATTCCACTTTCGATCGGAATGGAATTCTATGGTTAAAAAAACAATTCTATATAAATTTCCATTACTTCATAATATCTTCAGTTAAGTACTAATTTTAAAAAATATTGAAAAAAAAAAAAACTTACAGATTTCGATCACACTATTTTCTACCAAAATCGTGTATTGTACGAATCTCCCTTTATGCGAGGTGGCGGTGGAAGTTTTATGTTCAGAACACACACAAATCGTAAAGGAATAGGACATGGCACCTCTATCTATGACTCAGAATCCTATGAAAATGTTGAAATAAAAATTCGTAAAACATTTATTGAAAATTGGATTTTCAATAATTTGAACAAGTACGAGTATTATATAGTTAACATGCTATATGTTTATTGGTGGAATTGTGTTGTCTTGTGTTTAAAAAATTGTAAAGTTATTCATCTAAATGTTTCAAAAAAGGAACAACCTGGAGCCTGAATATAATTTATCTTATTTATATCAATCATCAAAACTAATATCCATTTGTAAAATTAAGTTGGACTAGGTAGAAATATGCTGCTGATATAGTCCATTTAGATCCAGCAAGGAAGAAGATGCTGGTACTAACTAAAATGATTACTATTCAAATCAAACATCGTTTAGAACAAAAGTTTAGACACTGTAGATGAGTCACACGGAAGTTCCATCTCTTCTCAACCATAATGTCTTCATTAGACATGGACAAATTTCAGATATTCGTAATATCTGTATTTTTATATACATAAATATTAAATTTTGGGTATTTTTATAAAATTCCAAAAAAACATTTTCAGATTTACCACAACTACGTATAGGTCATCTTTCGTCATTTCGTACAGATGCTCCAAGATTGGAGGACTTTCCAGGTTCACCTGAAGCTATATTTGCCAACAGCGCAAAACTCAAAATACGTCAAGATTTTATTGAAAATTGGATTTTTAAAAATATTAATATGTACGATAGTAAAGAATTTACACAATTTTAGCATAAATTTAAAGTTATTAACCTTATTGCTATCCTTTTGCTAACATAACTATAAAGTAATAAATACTTTGTATGTATAGCCGCTTTATACCATATACTCGTAATGCATCTGATATTGGTACAGACATTTTTTACCAGTACTTTTTTGAAAAAAAATCGGTCAAAATTTAATTATATCCCCAAAACATCCATAATTTTCTTACACTGAAAATAATCCATACATAACTTTACAAAAAACTACTTTTTTCGTAATATTTACGAAAATTTTGTACATAATACTATATGGTATTTAATCAAATCTTTTTCTAATTTTACGAAATTACGAAACCTTTTGTAATACTTACGTTTTTTCCTATATCTTAATCAATTTTGTTTAATTTTATTAAACTAATATCGTTACATTTAACGAATGTAAAGAAATATCTCGAAAACTTGTGATGTGATCTGAAGACGGATTAAAATTCATTCCTTTAAGAAAGTCCGGGTTTCGACTAGGGCATTATAAAATTTCATTCTGTACAATATTTTGCCGTAACGGGCAGTAATTGACCGCTATATGGTTAATAATAGTATTACAGTCTCTACAATGCTGCAGAGTTAGGCCTGTAATTGCTTTAAAATCTCATAGAATTTATTCTGAAAATTAATGTTTTCATTTCATTATTTACATAAATGGTACTTTATATTTAGGAATTGCTAGGTATAGGATCGCCCCAAATTGTTTCATATAGAGGTTATTTGGGAAAATCATTTTAAATGTAGTAAAAGCTGGTATAGGTTTATATGGTCATTGGCATATGATGGTTTGTATATAGGATTCCGCCAAGCTCTATGTGATATTTTAACTTATTTCTATATATTGCTAATTCAAGGTCTTGAGTTGTTTGTATTTATGATTTTCAGACTTTCCACGACCTCTTTATAGACCATTATTTAGTCCGGGTCGACCAATTCTAATAACTAACATTTAGGTAAAATTTATGTAAAATATAAATAACGATATATATTTTTTCGCCTTTAATATTGCTTGCTTTTGAGGACCATAAGATACCAGATTTGGGTGTGGAAATAACTGCTTATAATAGAAAATTGTTAAAGTTTTTCGCATCATATAAACTATATAATCTTGTCTTTAGTTCTGCAAAAAACCTAGTTCAGACAATAATTTAGTTTTCATTCCAGTCTATAGTTGACTTTCCAAACTATAGTTTGAATACTATAATCTATAGATCGGAATGTAATTGACGACTCGCACTTAAGACTAAAATCTAGGCTTTAAGTATATAATACTTTGCAGGTCATAGTCGAATCGATGGTCCACACTATAGGCCATACTATAATCTAATCAATATTCCTTTGTATAGTGCGGTCCTTACTAAAATAACCTTACTATAGTCTCCTATAATGTTATCCATAATATAGGCCATAGTTTATACAGATCGTGGCATACAGAAGTCGATTCATTCAATACTTAACATAGTTCAAAGTAATAGTTGTGCGACATTGTTTTGATGGCCAATTAATAACTGAATTTCAAGAAATTATGCGATCGAGTATTTGGTACATAACTTCAAAGTTTCTTTGGCCGTTTGACAAGTTGAAAATCTCTGTAAGTTCCTTAATAATATATTAGCATCTTAATTTATAAAAATATATAGTTAGCTTTTTTCCATTTATTACACATATATATGTATATTGTTTTTTGGACCAAAATTACCAAATTTTTTAACAAAATATTATTGCTATTCACGCTTCTCCAGATAAACACGCGGCTCTTCTACTATTTTCAAAGACATGTGATTCTCACAAACTATATCTTCATACTTAAAATCGGTTGTAAATTTGTACGTTTTTATAAGTTTTGCCAGTGCAATTTTAAAAAATGTTTCAGCATATCTCATACCTAAATTAGAAAGAAAATTTACCCAAATGTCGGTAATACATATTCCTCCAAAATACGTCATATCTGTTGACTTACCAATACAAGATCTTTGTCCCTTGGTAAACGGTATATATGCAAATGGGTGCCTTTCAGCAACATTTGAAGGTAAAAAGTTATCGGGATTAAAAGCGTTTGCATTGGGGCCATACAGATGTTTACTGCGATGCAAAGTATAGAGGTCAATACAAATCATTAGACCAACCGGTAACTTCACACCATTGCTGAGTACAAGATCCTCCTTGGTAACTTTTCGAAACACCAATGGTATCGCGGGAAAAAGTCGCATTGTCTCTTTGAAAATCATGTCTACATAAGTCAATTGTTCCATCAATTCTAATGTAATTTCGTTGTCATTAGGGGGCAATATACTTGCTACCTCCTCATAGGCTCGTTCCTGATAATGCGGATGCATGGCCAGTAATGCGGTTACCAAATACAATGTAGTAGATGTAGACTCAAAGGCCTTAAGAAAGAATTCTTTAAGATATATTTTCCTGGAGTTAAAAGTATATTAAAACCTACCCCAAAAAAGATATGCGTCATTTGACTTTCAATTTCATCCAATCGTAAAATATTCTGTTGAACTCCCATAAAAGCATAATCTAATACGCTATTTACTTCGGGCAAATAACTGGGATCTTTTGTATCATTTCTTCGTATAATATCCACTGATTCATTGACGAGTCTTCGAAATATCGCTAAACCATCTCTTGCAGTCGTATACAAATATTTCTCAGCCAGTTTGCATATCCATTTAATCGCCATTATTTGACTGATGCAGACATCCGCTACAAACTCTAGTAATCTGAAACAAAATCAATTTATATAATTAGGTTCAGGTTTAGTTAAGTTAACTTACGAGTGAGCATGTTCTGCCATAATAAATGAATTAAATTCCGTCTGTTCCAAATTTCTTTTAAGGGTTGTTTCTAAGAAGAATTATATTTTTTAAAGGAATGAAAAATGATATAAATCATGTGCACTATATACAGAATAACTTACTCGAAGCAATTCTCATGGTTAAGGCACGAAATATTACCAACATATCAACGTCGTCTCCCTTTTCTTGACTTCTCCCAATTTGCTCTATTACATTGTTAATCTCTTTGTGAAAAAGGGAGAAAAATGATTTTAGAATTGTAGGCGAAAAGGCCTTATTCAGTACTTTACGATGTCTACTCCAATCTGGATCTGTAAATTGTAATTTGCGAAATTTTGTAATCATAACAATTTCAGATAATTCCTGAATTTTTGTGTCCAATTACCATTTTGAGATATTAAACCATTACCGGCTATTGTAGTAATTCCTTTATATACGATTGGTTTATCTATGCAGTTTTTAGATGTGAAGATATCCTTTAAAACTTCTGGATCAGTGCTTAGAAATATCGGCCATATTCCTACCCACATTACACAGTTTGGACCGTATTTATTGGCATAATTATAAAAGTATAAAAGACCCTCTGAAAGAAATTCAATTTTATCATTAATTATGTTATAGTCAGTTATGAGTTTATGATTTCTACAGAAATGGTTTCTAGGTTCAATGTGTGGTAGTGTGATATTAGGAAACATTAACTTATGCTTGCAAAAAATAATTTTTCCAATTCACAATCGGAGTTGTAAGGTTGTATCGTAGTATGTCGTAATTTATGAAGAGGTTTGAAACTATATGGGGAGGGTCTTATACGTTAATGCTGATGTTTGTAAAACACAATAATAGTGATCATATACCCATCTCAAAGTATTCCAATCGGTTTAGAATCACCTTGTAATCAAACTACAGCTCGCAGTACCGATCACATGATCGGTACCCAGCAGTTCGAATTCATCCGTAATATACAGCCATTTTCACTACCGTCTAAAAACTTGCTTGGCTCAAACAAGAGTGAAGTCAGTCGTAACTTTTTACGCCCCAAGTAATCTAGAATGTGGACATTGGAAAATCCAACTTAACTAAAAAGGTGCATAGACATACATTAACTCCTTTGGACCAGATTTCTGACTGTCTCTTTGTAATCTAGGGAGTGACGATTGACTTCATTGTAGCTATTGATGAAATAAGGACAACTTTAAGTGGTGCAATAACCCTAAGTGGTAGGTTTATTATGTAGTTCGGTGCTGTCCCTTTGAAGTTTCCCACATAATAATTTCTTGATTATTCGATACAAAAGTAAAACAAATATATTTCACAGTGCCTCTAAACGAACGTAACAAAAATCAATTATTAACATCGTCCCATCAATGCTATTTGATATAGGCTATTAGTGTAATCCGATAATACTTTTTTTTACTAGTTTTCTATACTTTTCACTTCAATCGTTACCTTTTCTCGTTAATAATTTGCCATAGCCACGCCATGTATGTAGTCTATTCGAGTTTACTGTATGGGCTAATTTTATAAATGCTCTGATATACCAAAGATATATGATCCAAATAAACAATAAAACTCCAACCGTATGTATAAATAATTCCATTTTTAACAAATTATAACACAAATTCTAACTAACTAACTGAGCTTCTGTTGCGCTTTAAAGTTTCTTTTATATAGAATTTATAATTGCATTTGAGAATGTTCTCTACATAAAATATAAGTTTTATTTCGTACATAATCTATATTAGCATTTTTGATGAACTGTTTGAACTACATATTTTTATAGGTACTGAAATATATTCCATTGATTACAGATCACTTATTTTTGCCAAAAGAATATCTAGCAATGGAATGCTTATTGGTACCATAAAACCTCTTCAGATCGATATGATTGAAAGAAATAAAATTTTTCATTTAAACTGTTTGGTTTCCTTCCTTAATGCGTAATATAATTAAATCCAATTTATTGTAAATAATAACACTTTAGTAAATAATTAACCCTATATTAACTAATTTACATTAAAATTTACAACAATTATATAGTTAAATTTCCATACCATTCCTATACCCATTACCAAAACAATAAAAATATATAAATTATATCACTATAGTGGTGAACGTATTATGGGTTTGTGCTAATGTTTGGAACACAATAAAATATTGATCTGATCGACTCAGATTCGATTTTTGAGTCGCTATTTACATATGTTACGTGCGCTTATTTAGGCAAAGAAAGCCAATGCCTTTAAATTGGTTTTTCATAGATAGATAGATAGAGATAGATAGATAGATAGATAGATAGATAGATAGATAGATAGAGATAGATAGATAGATAGATAGATAGATAGATAGATAGATAGAAGTAGATAGATAGATAGATAGATAGATAGATAGATAGATAGATAGATAGATAGATAGATAGATAGATAGATAGATAGATAGATAGAGATAGATAGATAGATAGATAGATAGATAGATAGATAGATAGATAGATAGATAGATAGATAGATAGATAGATAGATAGATAGATAGATAGATAGATAGATAGATAGATAGATAGATAGATAGATAGATAGATAGATAGATAGATAGATAGATAGATAGATAGATAGATAGATAGATAGATAGATAGATAGATAGATAGATAGATAGATAGATAGATAGATAGATAGATAGATAGATAGTAGATAGATAGATAGATAGATAGATAGATAGATAGATAGATAGATAGATAGATAGATAGTAGATAGATAGATAGATAGATATAGATAGATAGATAGATAGATAGTAGATAGATAGATAGATAGATAGAATAGATGGATGAATGGATGGATAAATGGATGGATAAATGGATGGATGCTTCCATACAAAAGTACTTTTTGTTTTTAATAAAAATGTATCTATGATTTGAACCAAATAACATTTTCGATCTAATTTGGGTAACGATATGTTCACTTCACATACTTCCTGGCTGAGCGAAATTTATTTTCAATTTATTTCCAGAAAAAAATATAAAGGATTTCATTAAAACGTTCAAAACCCTCGAAAACTGTGCAACCTTGCATGTTTCCATTCTCCCAATTAAATTGTCACAAATTCTATGGGATTTGATTTGTACAACACTTGTAAGTTTGAGAGACGATTTAGACTGGCAAACTTGAACAGTCTCATTGTGCATTTAATAACTCCAGTCAGTATTGGTCACTTTTGAATTTATAGACTTGAATATTCGCATTTTAAACATATCTTTTTATAAATTTTTGTTTAAATTATTTTCGTTTTTTAGTTTTTAATTTCGTTTCATATTGTTTTAAAATATTTACAAATATTGTAATTGAACAGATTTTGAACAGGAGTTTCATGAAACAAGTCGAATAAACTTGCCCATGTGCATATATGGGAAATTTAAGGGTTTAAATGAAAACCCTTATTAATTTTATATCATTTGTAATTTTGCGCTTTTGTACATTTCCTTCGATATTATTGATTTATTATTTTATAGCTCATTAAGACTTTTTATAATTTACAATTATTTTTACATGAGATATTAATTACTGATATTACTTAATATGAATATTTACAGTATTAATTGAAACCAAAATAATTGTAGTCATTTATGGATACCTCAATTCTTGAAACGTCTAAATATCTTTTAGCAAAGAGAAACGTTCAAAGATCGATGAGAGTATGTAAACTTAATTATTTCATAAGGAAAATTTGTTTAGATTTTGTACAATACTGTACATTGAATGTGTCAATTCAAATTATATTTAACTTACGTACACGACATGTTCGAAGTTCGAACTTAAATACATAATTTAAATTAGAAAACTATAATAAACAAATTAGATTACTCTGAGTGCTTCGCTACACTTATTGCAATTAAATTGAACCGAAATTTTAATTACTGGAAAATACAGAGAAGTATCAATAAGTAGTAGTACAGATTTTAAGGAATTTATATATTTTAAGGCTTTAAGGATCAATTATAGGGCAATCCTATATTCGGCAATGTAACTTATGCTTACATAAACTTAGTTGTTCCGATTTCTGAAGAGACACTAGTATATTTGTTGTAGTTATGAACTAAACAGCCCTAATTGGAAGTTCCGGTTGTATGGCGGCTAAGTGGAATAATTTACCGATTTCAACCATTTCAATAGGCTTGCGACGGAAAACACTTACATATATGTAGTCAACATTTCATCAAAATATATTGATAATTGTGGCCTATAACTTAACATAAGGTTTACACACGGGCAGAAAGTGATTCTAAGTCGATCGGTATCCATAATCGGCCAGAGCGCCCATAAAACACTCTCTACCTATAAAATGGCCCTTCTGCCAATATCACTAGAATGTTTATAAATGTTGTACTAATATCGAATGTGTTATGTAACTTGATTTACTATCTATATACAATACTTGCATAGGTCGATAATACAATATCACGATTTTTTCAGATTTAAGACATTATATGTATGTTTATACCAGTATAGGACGAATTGATCTAAGTTGACAAAGAATAAATCCATTTAGACTGAAATATCATGGCCTTCCTCAAGCACATTTATCATCAAGTAGTCTTCCTACTAGTGCTGTAATATTCTACTACTTTTGATTACTCAATACTACTCAATACTTTTCGTTTGGGTACTCAATACTACTCGATACTTTTAACGGTTTTATTTTAAATTAAAAACGAGGAATTTTTCCTTTTTTTAAGTAAAGTTAGACCAGACATCACACCTCTTTTGAGACATTTTATTTTTTTAGATAGCGTCGATAAATATTTGTAAGTTTTTAACTATTATTGCAGTGTTTAAATTATTTTTACATTGATTTGATATTGCTAAGAGTTGCATTTCTAATAATGATATGGTCTATATTAGATTTTAGAGCTGTATTTTTTCACATCATAGCCGTTAAATTTAAATAAGTTAAATCCATATACAAGTCTGAAAGTATTGAGTAACTACTTTTTAGTATTGAGTACCCAAAAAATAGGGCAAATACTCGATACTCGATACCCACTACTCAATACTTTAACAGCACTACTTCCTACATACCGTAAAAAACCAAAAACCCGCACAAAATTTGTTGAAAACTGGATTTATAACAATATAAATAAGTACGAACATGCTTAAATTATGCTAATTACTAATAACCACGAAAAAAACTAGCTTTATCGTCTTAATAACAATTCCATTAATTTTCATATCCACCAATAAAATAATTCGCATGATTAACATATCGAATTTTTAGTTGTATATACTTACATGCAAGATTCTAAGAAAGTCGACCCATGTAGCTATGTCCGTTCATCTGTCAAATTACTAGTGGAATATTACCAGATAATAAATAACTCAAACTAAACCATGGAAATATGTTATTTGTGTACATTTAAAACATATTTTTTAGATGATTTTCACATATATTTTCATAGTCCTATGTTTTTACCTTCTGAAATGGGTTATATATCTCTTGACTCTGTGAGAATTGCAAGTACTACACTACTTGGTCTGCCATAACCAACTATTGCGTTTGCTAGCGGTACCGGTCTAGTTTTATCATAAACGCACTAGTCCAGAACCAAAAATACGTAAAGAATTTGTTGAAAACTAGTACGGAACAATATTATTAAGTGTTTGCTATTTGTTACTAATTTGTTTGGAACTTAAAAAAGTTATTTTTGTGGTTAAGTACTTATCTACCATTTGAGAATTTCAATTTGCAATATTTGTTTCAGGACATTCTTTCATGTAGTAAATTGTATGTACATATGTATATGAAAAGTTTAGTCATAGTCCATACTATAATCTATAGTGCAAGACTCAAGACTAATATAGAGGCTAGACAGACTAAAGTCAAATATATAGCCCAGACTATAGTCTAGTCTACAGTTCAGACTAATGTCTAGTCTGTAGTTCACACTATAGTCTAGTCTTTAGAATATAGACCACACTATTTAGTAATCTCTAGTGTATATATATATATATATATATATATATATATATATATATATATATATATATATATATATTCGGTCTATAGTTCCAAAAACTATACACCACAATGAAGTTTAGTCTACAGTCTAAAGTACAGACTAGAATAGTCTGGAGGAAAGTCTTGTCTATAGTCTAGTCAATAGTTCAGTCTATAGTCTAGTCTATAGTTCAGACTATAGTTTAGTATATAGTCCAGACTACAGTATAGTCCACAGTCTATAGTACAGTCCAGTTTATAGTCTTGTCTAAAATCCTGACTATAGTGTAGACTATAGACTAGACTATAGCCTGGACTATAGAATAGACTATAGTCTGGATTTTGGACAAGACTGTGGCCTGGCCTATAGACTAGTCTATAGTGCAGAATATAGTCCAGACTATAGTCTATATGCCAGGCTATAGTCTAGTCTTGTCCAGACTATAGTATATAAACATGCTTGAATTGTATATATTCCCCCAAAATGCATCATATTTATCGACTTACCAATACAAGATCTTTGGCCCTCGGTAAACGGTATATATGCAAATGGCTGCCTTTTTGCGACATTGGAAGTAAGAAAGTTATCGGGATTAAAAGCGTTTGCATTGGGATCCTAAAGATGTTTACTGTGAAGCAAACTATAGAGGTCAATACAAATCATTAGACCAACCGGTAACTACACACCATTTTTGAGGATCAGATCATCCTTGGTAACTTTTCAAAACACTATTGGTATCGCGGGAAAATGTCACATTGTCTCTTTGAAAATCATGTTCAAATAGGTCAAATGTTTTATCAACTCTAATGTAATTTCGTTGTCATTAGGAGGTAAGAGACTTACTACTTCCTCACAGGCACATTTCCTTATAATGAGGATACATGGTCTGAAAAATACGTACCTCAAAGTCATATAGAATAAATTCATTAAGAAATATTTTCTCTGAGTTAAAGGTATATTAAAACCTACCCCAAAAAAGATATGCGTTATTTGGCTTTCGATTTCATCCAATCGTAAAATATTCTATTGAACCCTAAAAGGGACATTATTATGAGCCAAAAAAATAACACATAAAGATTTTCTAATAAAACTTCTTTATGTTAATGTTTTTCGATATAGATATCTGTTTTTTTTTTTTAAGGCAGTTATAAGCGTTTAAGCAATTTTCTGAAGGGACCTTATATAGGAATGAAATCATGAAGCAATATTTCCTATTTTCAAAACCGAAAAAATTTTGCATAAATCAATTTGAACATGATTATGTATATGGCTTTGACTATTTTATAAGGAAAAAGTTGATTCAATTTCGAACAATACTGTATATTTAATGTGTCAATTCTAATTATATTTAATAAGTATTAAGTTGATTGTTTTAAGAGTAGGTCTACGTAGGCTATGAATATATAATGATTTATTTTTAAAAAGTTTCACTTAAATATCCATTAATATGCTAATTATGGAGCAATAATAAAATATATTGCTTGTATCAGAAAACCACAATGAATATTGTATTCACCTCCAAGTATATTACTAAATGATTGAGTTGAATCTTTTTGATTCAGTTCAATAGTTTATGTATTCTTAAAACTTAAAAATATCTATACAACTCATACTAACTAATATTAAGACAGAATTTTAAGTATGTATTTAAAATTATAGTTCATTAATTTTATGTATATTTTCGAAATCATTTCATAATTTTCACTCATAAATCCGCTTTTTTAGCCCAACGTTCTGACGAAGATTTAGATTATGAAGAAGAAGACGTAGAAGAATTCATTTCGGAAGATGAAACCGATTCTTTTAATAATCAGATTCTTTCAGCACAATCAGAAACTCTATATATCATAGAACGTAAAAATTTTATGGAAATTTGGATTTGGAATACGGGCAAAAATTTTAGGTTGGTCTATCTACATACATATGTATAATATTTGCTGCCACCAAAAAGCTTTATTTAGTTAATATTTAATATAGTTTGCTATAACTAATCTTTTTGTAAATAGTAGTTTGTAAAATTATATTTCGGTATATTGGTAAGCAACGCCCAGACTAGACTATAGACTAGACTATAGACTAGACTATAGACTAGACTATAGACTAGACTATAGACTAGACTATAGACTAGACTATAGACTAGACTATTGACTAGACTATAGACTAGACTATAGACTAGACTATAGACTAGACTATAGACTAGACTATAGACAAGACTATAGACTAGACTATAGACAAGACTATAGACTAGATGATAGACAAGACTATATACTAGATGATAGACAAGACTATACTAGACTATAGACTAGACTATAGACTAGACTATAGACTAGACTATAGACTAGACTATAGACTAGACTATAGACTAGACTATAGACTAGACTATAGACTAGACTATAGACTATAGACTAGACTATAGACTATAGATTATAGACTAGACTATAGACTAGACTATGGACTAGACTATAGACTAGACTATAGACTAGACTATAGACTAGACTATAGACTAGACTATAGACTAGACTATAGACTAGACTATAGACTAGACTATAGACTAGACTATAGACTACACTATAGACTAGACTATAGACTAGACTATAGACTAGACTATAGACTATAGACTAGACTATAGACTAGACTATAGACTAGACTATAGACTATAGACTAGACTATAGACTAGACTAGACTATAGACTAGACTATAGACTAGACTATAGACTAGACTATAGACTAGACTATAGACTAGACTATAGACTAGACTATAGACTAGACTATAGACTAGACTATAGACTAGACTATAGACTATAGACTAAGACTAACTATAACTAGACTATAGACTAGACTATAGACTAACTATAGACTAGACTATAGACTAGATGATAGACAGACTATATACTAGACTATAGACTAGACGATAGACTAGACTATAGACTAGACTATAGACTAGACTATAGACTAGACTATAGACTAGACTATAGACTAGACTATAGACTAGACTATAGACTAACTATAGACTAGACTATAGACTAGACTATAGACTAGACTATAGACTAGACTATAGACTAGACTATAGACTAGACTATAGACTAGACTATAGACTAGACTATAGACTAGACTATAGACTAGACTATAGACTAGACTATAGACTAGACTATAGACTAGACTATAGACTAGACTATAGACTAGACTATAGACTAGATGATAGACAGACTATATACTAGACTATAGACTAGACTATAGACTAGACTATAGCAGACTATACTAGACTATAGACTAGACTATAACTAGACTATAGACTAGACTATAGACTAGACTAGACTATAGACTAGACTATAGACTAGACTATAGACTAGACTATAGACTAGACTATAGACTAGACTATAGACTAGACTATAGACTAGACTATAGACTAGACTATAGACTAGACTATAGACTAGACTATAGACTAGACTATAGACTAGACTATAGACTAGACTATAGACTAGACTATAGACTAGACTATAGACTAGACTATAGACTAGACTATAGACTAGACTATAGACTAGACTATAGACTAGACTATAGACTAGACTATAGACTAGACTATAGACTAGACTATAGACTAGACTATAGACTAGACTATAGACTAGACTATCAACTAGACTATAGACTAGACTATCAACTAGACTATAGCCTAGACTATCAACTATACTATAGACTAGACCTATACTAGACTATAGCATAGACAATAGATCATACTATATAGAGTAGGGTCTAGAGGTCCATTGAAAAGTACCAAAAATGGCGTAGTAGGATAGCAGTTTTTTTCGATATCAAAAAGTACTGAAAATGTACTATAGTACTGAATTTTTCATGCTGGCACTCTACAAAATTTTAAGACGATCGATCCATAATTGACCTCATAAGTTATGCTCCATAGAATCAATCACATTAATATGTTGGTATTAACATAAAATTCGGTAAAAAATTTTTCAGATCATCCACGTAGATATTATAACCGCTTACGACCTATGCCTATTAATAACCGTAGAACTGTATCATACAGAGGTGGAGCTCATACCCTTAGACTACCACAGCCGCAATTTGCACCAACTGGTCATTCCAGTGTAAATGCAATGTCATCTAGTTCCAGTATAGAACCAAAACTACGCAAAGAATTTATAGAAAATTGGATCTATAACAATATAAATAAGTACGACAATCTATGAAATGGGAATATATCACTAATCATCGTTAACAATTTTGTGAACGTGTTAATAATAATAGCATTTCCATTTAATTTCATGATTTATTTTCATGATTTTTAATTTCATATTTTAAAAAGTATTTGCATTAGATTTTTTGTAATAAAATCTAACACTAAATCACGAAATCGTCGTCGGTATAGCTAAAAGGGGCTAGTGCATAGCAACAGTATAACTGTTTGACAGAGTTAATCAATTTCACTTATGAAACATCCAAATGTAACTTCTTACTAAGTATAAAATTTTTAAGAAAAATTTAGTAATCTAAAAATCCAGTTAAAGGCCATTCAATTAAGTAGAAATTTAAAACAACATCTAGTATTCAAACATAAAAATTAAATTTTTTTCAGACGATTACCCCATATATTTTAATAGACCCTTTTTCCTACCATTGGGAACGGGACCTAGACCACTTGAATCTGTAGGAATAACAGGTGTAACACAAACAGTATTGGCTGGCGCCTGGATCCTGCCTGCTGGTTCAGCTTCACTATCCAGCTCGAGTCCAGAACCAAAAATACGTAAAAAATTTAATGAAAACTGGATTTTCAATAATTTAAATAAGTACGAAAAAACTTCTGATTTAAAAAGAATTACTGGTTATACATATATATAGAGTTAATATTTGTCATTAAGTATTTGCTAACTGTTACTAATTATGGGGCAACATTATTTAGTATTTGTTGTTACTAATATTTGCTATAAGCTCGTCTTTTTTTAACGGGGTTTTCAAATTACCACTAGGTTTCAATTGATTTTTACTTTTATTTGAATAATTTTGGCTATTTGCTTTTTTAATCGCTACCTAGTATATTTTTTACGACTTGGAAATGTCTTCTACTACTAGTTTATTTTAAATTATCTTTGAACTGCCGCCTATTTTCACTTTTGTTTTAAGTACTAGTTTGACCTTTTTAATCTTTCATCGTTTTATGTAATTTTTATACCCATTATCAAAAACGATGGGGGTATATTGATTTTGTCATTCCGTTTGTAACACATCGAATATTGATCATTAACCCACAAATAAATATATATATTCTGGGTCCTTATTAAATTCTAAGACGATCTAGCCATGTCTGTCCGTTCGTCCGTATGTCTGTCTGTCTGTCTGTCTGTCTGTTGAAACGAAACGAGCTAGAGGATTGCAAATTTCCACAAATATTCTCTATAGGTAAGGTTTTTTGGTATTGAAAATGGGCAATATCAGTCCACGTTTTCGGATAGCCCCCATACAAGTGGACCCCCGAAAAAAAGCTTTAATGGTCATATTTGTTTTAAAAGTACTAGTATAGCGATGAAATTCGACATAAATAAGTTTCTTATGATCCAAAATCTCTCTATCAAATAAGCTCCCCTTCAAAAAATGACTTCAACGCTCATTACTGGCTTAAAAATACGAGTATTACAATAAAATTTGACGTAAGTTAGTCCCTTATGATCCAAAATCTCCCTACCAAATTTTATGAAGATCGGTTCATAATTGACCCTACCCCCAATATAAGGTACCCTTCAGAAATTGAGTTTAACGCTCATTACTGGCTTAAAATTACGAGTATAGTGATGAAATTCGACACACATAAGTTTCAATGAAACCAAAATCTCTCTATCGAACTTTATGTGGATCGGTCCATAATTGAACCTACTCCCCATATAAGGTTCCCTTAAAAAAATTACTTAAACGATCATTACTGGCTTAAAAATACGAATAAAGCGATGAAATTCGACCCAAGTAAGTTCCTGGCTAACCAAAATCTCTTAACCAAATTTTATGTGGATCGGTCCCATATAAGCTCCCCTTCAGAAAATGACTTTAATGCTCATTATTCGTTTAATGGTCAATAATTAACCCTATTTCTCATATAAGGTCCTCTTCAGTTAATTTGATGAGTAAATCACCCTGACGTTTATAGGAAGCATTCCTTTTAAGGCATACGGTTTGATGGTGGGTATATGAGATTCGGCACAGCCGAATATAACACTCTCACTTGTTTTTTATATGTGTATGTGAAAAGTATACATTATTTAAAAAAAATATGTAATATTCACAACAAGTTAGAGTGCTATATTCGGCTGAGCCGAATCTTAAATACCCTCCACCAGCTACTTTTATATTAATACTTTTTAATTGATCAAATATTTGTAGAAATAAGTTTTCTCATGTCTTAAATTACAATTCCAATTTGTATCTATATCGTAATTTAGTAATAAGTAATGAGTGTTCAAGTGATGTTCTGAAGGGACACTTGTATGGGACCGACCGCACCCATGTTATGGACCGATCGTGAAAAAATCTTGAAATAGAATTTTTGTATACCAAACTAATATTTGTGCTAAATTTTGTATCAATAGCTTTATTTGGTAATGAGTAATGTGCGTTTAAGAGATTTTCGTAAAAGGACCTTGTATGGGAGCTATGACCAATTATGTATATAAAGACAAAATTTCAAAATTCTGTATCTATATCATTATTTGTCAATGAATATTGTGCATTTAAGTGATTTTCTGGAGGGGACCTAGTATGAGAGCTATGACCAAATATGGACCGATTGCAAAACAATTTTATAGTGTAATTTATGTATATAAGAGCAATATTTGTGCTAAATGTATGGATATCAATATTTTGTACTGAGTTATGTGCGTTTAAGTGATTTTTGGGAGGGGACCTTGTATGCGAGCTATGACCAATTATGGACCGATCGGAAAATATTTCATTGTAATATTTCTATATGTGAGAGCTATACTTGTACCAAACTTTATATGGATATTTTAATTTAGTAATGAGTTATGTGTGTTTAAGTGATTTCCGGGAGGGGACCTTGTATGGGAGCTATGACCAATTATGGACCGATCGGAAAAAAATTGCATAGTAATATTTCTGTGCATATGAGCAATACTTATTCCAAATTTTATATGGATATCTTAATTTAGTAATGAATTATGCGAGTTTCAGTGATTTTCGGGAGGGGACCTTGTATGGGAGCTATGTCCAATTATGGACCGATCCAGAAAATTTTATCTCTCAAAGAATTCAATTGACATATGATTTTAATTTGTAAAATTTTGTGAAGATATCAATACTATGACGGAAGTTATTAACAAAAAACGAATTTTCCGGGAATATGTACTTTTGTATGGGAGGTATATGAAATTATGGACCGATTCTGGCAATTTTCAGCAAGATCTTGTGTAGAGATAAATGTATGATGACTTTCATGAAATTATCTTGCATAGTTTTCGAGAAAATTACTTTAGAATGTGTAAAAAATGCTTATTTTATTCGGAGTTGTTTTAAATTTTGATTGATAACTTTTCCCGATGTGAACTGATTTTGCTCAGTTTCAATCCATGTAAAATTGGATGAAATTTGGACGAAAAAACGGTCGAAATCGGTACATTATTACCGGATACCCGGACCTCCCCTCAGAAAATGACTTGAACATACTTAATACATACATTAGTATTACGATGAAATTCGAAATAATTAACTTCTATATAAACATAAAGGCCTAAACCAAATTTTATTTGGATTGGCACATATTTGAGCCTAGTCCTCATATCAGTTTTCGACCCACAATTTGCTTAAACACATTGGAATTAAGGAAAACTTCAATGTACATGCTTTATGCTTTAATTAAGTAATGAGTATTTTTAATTATACTCATAGCTGGTGTAGGGTATCATATGGTTCGCCATGCCCAACTATACATACTTATTTGTTTGACTTTGATTTTATTCCATTTGAAAATACAAAAACCTACTTACACAATAGCATTTTAAGTTATTATTTTAACACGGGAATGACATTGGAGGCAAGTACTTACCAAGATCGCTTACATATAGGGAGTTATATAAGTTATATATGGAGTCAAGTAAGTTGTTTTGTTTCTGAGAAAAAAATTGTCTACAAGGATACGTCTATTATCAGTTTTCAGCAAAATTTTTTTTGTTTGTGTTAAAAACAAAGTTCGAAAACAATATGCCAAAGCTAAGAAGTAAGTACACTTACATAATAATATTATGTGTAAGTTATTACTAAACTCATTCTAAGTAATGCAGACGGTATGTAGTTGTCGTTGAAAAGAAAGTTGTTGAGTAAGTACAAGTTATTACTATGTTTTTGCTTTACATATGCCGCCTATGCATAGATAACATCGCAAAAACGGCTGATAACTCCACTACCAAAAGATTTCGGTATATATGTATAATATGTAATTTCACAAAATCTCTTATATTTCAGAATCTCCTATATACAGAAAATGTAGTAACGGTAGTTTAAAAAATCGCCTTAATATGAAGCAAACAATACCTTTGTATAATTTGGAACAAAGGCTAATACGTAAGAATTTTAAAGATTCATGGGTTTTCGACAATTTTAAAATGTAATTAGAATTTTTTAAAGTGATAATTATTTAGCCGGTGTTATGTTTTTATATTTATTATCATTTAATAATTTATTTTTTTAAATTAGTTATTTGCTCCTAAAAATGTCGTGTAAGATCAAATAAACATTTATATTACAAGATGGTTATGAAAATTTTACGATGTAAATAATAGGATAATAAGTATTTACGAAGTATCAGACTTATTACACTTAAAATAATTGCATTTTTTAAAAAACGCTTTTTATATCTAATAATTTAATTATTAAAAAATTCGAAATAAATTTCAATTTTTTTTTTTTGATTTTAACACATTGAAAAGTAATGATCATTACTTATTCATTAGCTTTTTAACTCATTATTTTAACACTTACGACGCTCGCTTACAAATCACTACTTAAATAAGTACTTACAAATAGGGAGTTAGAAAGTTTTTTTTGTTAAAAAAACGCTCATACAGAATACGAACCTTTACTTCTTGTTCGTGAGTTCGCTGTCTTATTTACAACACCACTGCTTAGTTACCCAGCAGTTCGTCTTTCGTCACGAATGTACTCTTTGTAAAC